CCCTAGTGAAGTGAAACGTCACTTGGAGAAAGTGAGTTTTAGGCCAAATTATTGGGTTTGGACATCTATTGGGAAAAAATGCCAGAGATGAATAGAGAAGCTTCTAGAACTCAAACACGTATTTGACCAAATATAAATAGATACGATCCAGGGAGTCCATCATATATGTAATGCCAAGAACAATTTAATATAGTCGAGGATATGGTCAGTGACGCATTAGGGGTGAATGTGGCTTATGATGAACTTCAAGACTTTGACGCATAAGAGATCCCGTATGAGAAAGCGCAAAAGTTTTATCATTTGTTGAAAAAAATAAATATACCATTGTTTGAGGGGTCTTCTGACTCTAGGCTATCAATGTGTGTGAGGCTTTTGGTTGCGAAGTCAAATGGAATGTTCCTGATCAATGTTTGGAATTCTTTGCGAGAATGATGTTGGACGCAATTCCTGTGAAGGAAACATGCCTACAAGCTATTATGATGCAAAGAGGATAGTGTCAAAGTTAGGACTAGAAGTAAAAAAAGATTGATTGTTGCATCAGAGGTTGCATGTTGTTTTATGACAACCAGTTTGGTACAAATGACGGGGAATTAGAGGTATGTAAGTTATCCAATAGTCCAAGGTATTTAGTTCGCAGTAAAGGAGCTGATCGAAAGTAAAAGCGAGTTGTAGTAAAGTCCATGTTCTATCTGCCAATAATAACTAGGTTGCAAAGAATGTTTGCACCAATGCATAACACAATCCAAATGATATGGAACCATACAAACATAATTAGTTCAGGCATGATGCGACATCCATCTGATGGCGAGGCATGGTAACACTTTGATAGAGTTCATCCTGAATTTGCAGCAGAACCAAGGAATGTTAGACGTGGATTATGCTCTGATGGTTTCACTCCTTATAATTTGTCTGCAAATACATATTCTTGTTGGACAGTTATTGTTACCCCGTACGATCTCCCTCCTGAGATGTGTATGACAAAACCTTACATGTTTTTGACATGCATCATTTCAGGACCTTCGAGTCCAAAGGCAGGAATAGATGTTTATCTGCAACCTTTAATTGATGATCTCAAGAGGTTGCGGTGGGAGATTGGAATTATGATGTGTCTCATAAACAAAACTTTAATATGTAAGCTGCTTTGATGTGGACAATTAACGACTTTCCTGCATATGGCATGTTGTCTGGATGGGGTACGCATGGAAAAATGGGATGTCCGCATTGCATGGATCACACAAAAGCGTTTACTTTGGATAAGGATGGGAAAAGTTCGTGGTTTGACTATCATCCTAGGTTCTTACCTGAAAACCATGAATTTAGAAGAAATAAGAATGCTTTTATAAAAGGAAAAAACTAACAGATCTACCTCCCCCTCGATTGTTATCGACTGAAGTATGGAATAGTGTTTGTTACCTACCAAAATTCATAGATAATGGTGAAGCACGCAGAATTCAAGGATATGGGGATTCTCACAATTTGACAAAAAGAAGTATTTTTTGGGACCTCTCATATTGGAAGGATAATTTGTTGCGGCATAATCTTGATGTTATGCATATCGAGAAATTTTTTTTTGATAATATACTTAACACTGTGATGGATAATGAGAAGACGAAAGATAATGATAAGCCTAGAAAAGGCATGGAAATTTTGTGTAATCGGAGAGAATTGGAGTTGAAACCTAGACCAAATGGAAAGTTATTAAAACCCAAGGCTTGTTACACTTTTACTCCCAAAGAAGCAAAATCAATCTGTTAGTGGTTAAATGATTTGAGGATGCCTAGTGGTTATTCTTATAACTTGACAAGATGTGCTGACGCCTCAACAGGGAAGATGCATGAAATGAAAAGTCATGATTGTCATGTTTTCATAGAACGACTACAATTGCATTTAGTTCACTTCCCAAGAATATGCTTAATCCACTAACTGAGATTAGTTAACTTTTTAGAGACATTTGTGTGTTAACTTTAAGAGTAGACGACATCATTAAACTGAATCGAAATATTTCTGTCATTCTCTTCAAGTTGGAAAAAATATTTTCGACAAGTTTCTTTGATTCTATGGAGCATCTCCCTGTGCATCTTGCTTATGAAGCTTTCCTAGGTGGACCTGTTCAATATAGATGGATGTACCCATTTGAACAATTCATGGGTGATTCAAAGCGATCAGTGAAAAATAAGGCAAGAGTTGAAGGATCAATTTGTGCACATTATTTACATCGCGAAACATCACATTTTTGCTCTAATCATTTCAATCACATGATGTTGACTCCAAGAATCACAAGGAACGAAGTTCACGTCTGTGAAAGAAGTAAATTCACCTTATCCGTTTTTGGTCGTCCAGGCCGGACCTCAGGGAAGACGAGTGATCATTGACTTTCTCAAAAAGAAATGCAATCTGCCCATGCCCCGAACCATGCCTTCTGAGGACGATCATGGAGATACCAGTGCTCCCGGAGATTCCAGTGCTCCTGGAGATACCAGTAGTGCTCTTGGAGAAACCAGTGCCCAAGAAGATACAAGTGCTATTGAGGAGGAAACAAGGAGGGAGCACATCTTGAGGAGAAATGATCCGCAAAAAGTTTGATATTATCGTGGAAGACTTATCATTTGGCCCGACTCTGGATCGTAAGTGTTTATATATGTTTTATATTATTTTAAATTTGAGTTTTATTTAATCAATTCTAACTCAAGATTTTGGCTTTTAGGATCTTGCCCCATCAGGAAATATCGATCATAACAGGCATTATTAAAGAGAAGTATACAAAATTTAGGCCGAGTTATGGAGTTGTATTTGAAGATGACAAAAGATTAGTTTAATGCATTTAAGGTATATTTTTCCTTTATATTTTTTGAGATATCTTTCCTTTATGTTTTTGAGATATTCATGATTCTTTATATCTTAAATTTGAATTCATACAACAATGTAGGAGAAGTGTTGTTGGGATGATAGAGATGAAGTCCAAATTGAAGAAAATTTTCACTCAAAATGTAGTGCCCGATTTTCTGACACCATGAGGAATGTTAGAATTAAATGGGGAAAAAAGCAACGTCCATGTTGGATAGGAGTAGAAATATTTCAATATCTTATTGTTCATTGGAATTCTGAAAAATTTAAGGAAATATCTGAAAAGGCAAAGAAATATAGAGCATCTGAAGCCGGTGGCTGCAACTACGCGGCGAGTAGTATTGTGTTGCTAAAGTTAATTGAAGGATGGTACGTAAACTTATTTATTTTTTAGTTAATTGATCATTTAGATTTTTGATTACATGTAAATAATTATTTTTTACTTATTTAATTAGCGTGAAGAGTTGGGTAGAACTCCATTTCTTAATGAGCTTCATCTAAAGACTCATCTCAAGAGAAATGGAGAGTTTGTTGACGAGCGGTCAAGAAACACTCAAGTAAGTTTTTCTTATATTTAAAACATTTTATTTTTTTCTTTTATATGGACCTTGCTTATTTAAATTATTATAACATTTAATTTTATTTGTAGGAGGAGTTTGATAAACAACTTGCCCTACAATTGTCAGAGCATCCTGAACTTGAACCACCGCCGGGATATCCTGTTGATCCTGTGTTGGATTTTTGGACATGGTATGATGTTTCAGGTGGAAAGAAGAAAAATGAGAGAGTGTATGATGTTGGAGGATACGCTAAAACTATCAAGCGACGTGATAAGAGTTTTAGAAAGAGACTCGCTGATGGAGAAGGAACATCAACTCCACCTATATTAACCGCCGAAATACTTGAAACTTGGCGAATACTGAGGCAGCACTGCACGTAGCAGCAAAAAATGCAGAAATTGAAGAGATGAAGAAAAAAAATTAGAGATGCAACAAGAAATACAGAGAAGAGAAACATAGTTGCATGAAGAAATGAGGAGGCAAACACAAGAGTATCAAGAAGCAATGCGGATTGCAAATGAACGGGTTCAAAGATTTGATCAATTTTTTGCTTCGCAAAATTCCGGTGGTGGATTTGGAGGAACTAGTCGATATGGAGTAATTGTTGAAGAAGAAGAGCAAGGAGAAGAACAAGATGAACAAGAATAGAATCATTAAATTTGAAAATTTAATATTTATTTTAATTTGTATGAAAAAATTTATGTTAACTATTTTGAACTTAATAACTTTATTTTAATTTGCATGAAGTTTTATTTTAATTTTTATTATATTTGATTGAATTTTAATTATTATATTTATTATGTTTAATTATATTTATTATATTAATTTTATTTTAATAATATAATTAATAGAATTATTATTACTAGTTTTTATCTTATGAATATTAATTTTTTTAAAAAAATATTTTTACAATTTGTCAGGGGATAAACTTCTGGAAAAACGTCAATGTCTGCATTTTGTCAGAGGCTTAACCCGTCGCAAATGCAAAAGTATTTACATTTTGTCAGGAGTTAAACCCCAAACAAAAATTTTGACGCACTGTCACCTACCTTGTGCGCCTACATCTGAATGCTGCAGACTATAAAATCTATATTGCATTTAGAGAGGGATACAACCCCTTGCAAATAAAATCCATGTTACATTTAGCGAGGGGTTAAACCCCTAACAAATAACTTTTTTTTTGTAATATTTTTCCACACTAAAATTATGTTAGACTATTTAATGTGTTTTATTGATTATCGTTGTATTTGATATTTAAGAGAGATTTTATTAAATTATTTCTTTCCATTTATGGTTTCTTTCCAACAATTACAAATACTAAACAATTTCAAACTTAGTAAACCTCAATAATAACCTATCTTAAATATATTTTATTCATACAAAACAAAACATAAACTCAATCACTCACATTCAAACAAACTTAGTGCATGTTTGGACTTTCAAAGAGTTTTATAAAATCAAAGTAAACAATCTTAATTTTGGAACATAAACGAAATCACGGTAGCACCGTAATTTTGTTAAACTTAACGTGATTCAGCACTTATTGAACTTGAGAGGAAATTAGGAAATATAATAATAACTAGATAGAAACAAAGTCTAACAGGATGGTTTGGATTTGTCTTCAATATTAATGCCATTCTGATCTTGTCCAGCTTTTTTCATTTCAGCTTTGATTGCAATGGCCAACTGATCATGAGCTTCTCCCCATGCATTTTTCATAGCTTCTGACCACATTTCAGGCACTGCTTCTTCTATTGTCTCCAAAAGTGCTTGCTTTGTTACATCAAAATGTTCATCTTGTACACCAGATTTGAAATGAATGGCACCTAACTTCTTCAAATTTGATTCTCTCACTGTCACTTTACCAGCTTTCCGGAGTTGAACTGCTGATTCACATGTCTACAACATAGAAATAATTAAGAAAATTAATTAATGGTAATTAATTATATTTAATTAGTTAACTAATTAATTGAGAGATGTTAAGTAAAGTTACCATGAGAAAGACAGACATGGCATGAGGTTTGAGCTTAGGATTTTGGTCTAAAGGAACATTTGAATCTTTTAAGAAGGAGAACAATTGCTTAGCTGGTGGAGCAATCTCTAGTATTCTAATAAATAGTTCAAAAATAATATTGTGTTAATAATGTTATATATAATGATCTAGGAATTGAAAAATGAAATTAATGACTTACTTGGTGAAAAATTTGAGACTGAGATCTCCTGAGTCTTTCTTGATTGCATTCCATGACTTCACCACAAGAGCTTCTTGTTCTTCTGTGAAAGAATTGATTGTGTTCTCTTCCATGTTAACTGCTAATAATGGAGGGTAATAGTAGCCATGGAAGATAGAGTGGCCCTTCGTGTCAATGGAGAGTTATTTCACATTTTGTCAGGTTCTGCTCTTTCCAACAAAACAAACAAAATTGGAATATTATATATTTTTTTTCATATTTTAAGACAATTATGTTTTTAAATAGCTTTGTTTTCAAAAAGTTTTTGTGGTTTAGAGAGCTATTCCTTTGACATATACTCCTCCACAGGAATAAAATATTAAGAAAAATAATTCGAAAAATTGATGCATTTTGTTTTAATTTTTTTATATGTTTCATTTTAGAAAGCATTAGATTCAATTATGTTTAAAATTACTTATCAAATTGGCATTAGCAGTTTTTTATTTATTGGAGAGGGTCTAGGCCCAAAGAGAAAATTAGAAGCAAACCATCTCATGGAAAAATTTTAGCCTGTATTTAATTAATTATTCATCTACCCCTACAATACAAATTATGTATTTGAACAAAAATACCCATGCATAAATACTTATACTTTTAAAAATTATTATTTTTTCAATTTTACTTGTTACACTTCGGATAATGCAAAAATAAGTTTTTCAATTTTTATAGAAAAAATATACCAAATCAGATTACTTGGATATGAGTTTTCCGATTTTGATAAGTATTAATCGGATAACTTTCTGCCATGTTATCTGGTTCTTGTTGAGTTACTTCGGATAACTCTTGATGAGGTTAACATGTTCTTGTTTTTTTTTATATTTATTTTTGGTGGTTCAATGATGAGGAGGTCCGGGCGACACCAATATGCAATGAAGAGTTGAAGGACAACAATGTCGACAGGTGGTGGATGATAGAGAGGGACATCCAATGGTTGCACCTAAGGCTGGTCCGCAGAAGTTGATAAGTGCAAATTATAGCTATTTTTATATATTTTTTTTTTGCACTTATCGACTCTTTATTGTTAATATCGGTTGAATAAACCTGACTTTGTTTGTAAATACGTTTAGTTTGTGTGTATTTGTGTTTTTATATACATAATGTATCATTTGATAGTTTTTCATTCATTTTGTAGGTATTTGATCATTATTGAAGCATTGAGTAATAAAAGCCCCAAGATGCATTTTTGTAGCGGTGTCAGGGCGCAGTGAGCGTCGGGCGAAGCATGAGCGATGCAGAAATGAGAAAATCCAATAGCTTCTATTTTGTGATCGCATCTTGGTTGTCGGACGAGACTTTAGGCCGCCTTCTGGCGGTGAGTTTGAGCGTCGGGCGACGTTGGATATTTTTGCCAGCTTGCTCACGTGGCGCAAGCTGAGTGGCCAGAAAAAAAGCCATCGACGGGTGGTGCTTTCCAATGTCGGGCGACGATGTCTGGACATATTTTTATTTATATTTTCATTTCATTTGTTAGAGTTATGGTTTTGGGAGTGGTTTTTATTCTCTCAACTCCATCAACCTCATTTTTCATTAGGAGTAGCTTAGAAAACAACTACAAAGCTTGCATACGGATGATCCGGAATGGATTGCTCATCGATCAACATTGACAAACCAGGAGATTTATGGTTCATTTCTCTTCTTCTTTGTGTATTCTTCATTTGTTGGGTTTTGTAATGTATTTACTTTGAACACATGTATATGTATTGATCATGGTGTTGTATAATATATGTTTTATAAATCATTGTTATTGCCTTCCTTGATCTTTTTGCCATTATGTTTGGATTTGTGTTGTTATAGATATATTCCTCACAAATCTTGATTAGGGAGGGAGATATATTAGGTTCTAAACTCTAGAGATGGATTTAGGCTTAACAATCACTTGGGTGTCGAAGCTTAATGCTTCTGTGTTGTTGTTTCGTGTGAGACATCATCGACGCAAGAATATGGTTGTTCTCGCAGTTTGAGTTAGACATAATTTGATTTATGATACGTCTCGTTGGTGTTGCAAATATGGACATTGATGTGAGAGATATGTGATGATTTTGATGAGTATTACATGTTGAGTACAATTGATCGATATGTTTAAGTTTGTGATGAGTAGTTTACTTTCATGCCTGATAAGTTTATTCTCTCCAAAGAATGCATTTTATTTTCTGTTGATAACTTTTACCCTTTCATACAAGTCAACCCATTAAAACTCAAACTCATTAACGTGAGACTTGTCGAATGACAATTCAGTAGAACTGATCTCTGTGGAGACGATAAATTTCCCGGAAGAATATTTCCAAAACTTTTGCTTATGGCTTTACCGCTTAAGCAAAATGGCGCCGTTGCCGGGGATTGGTGTTTTTATTGGATCTCATTGCGATAATTTCTTTATTTTTGAGTTTTATAGATATCGTATATTGTCTATTTTCACTTGTTTATATTGATACTTGCATATGTTTACCATATTTGTGAATGTTACATATTTGCATACTTGTAAATTTTGTATATAGTATACTTATTTTGTTTCACGTTTTCTAAAATATGGTTAGATGTGTAGTTTTGGTTAGAGCTTGAAGATATGAGATCAAAGGCGGGAGTGAAGCATTTGGCTCATCCAAAGCAATGCGTCGGTTTTTAAATATCAGGTGTCGAGCTTACGACGTAAAACAAATATGTTTTATTATTTTTCTTTGTTTAGTTTAGGTAGTGTTGTACCCTAAAATTTTCCCTTTCATTTATCAAGTATTTTCTCACAAGATCTCCTTTGGTTCAAGATTGCACAAGGGTTGATCAGCTCAAGACACCTCCTTAAGCACTGATGACTGAAATTAGGGTTTGAGATTGCACAAGGATAATTGAACTTTTAATGCCTCATATGACTTTCATGGATCATTATAGACCCTCAAGATTGCTCATGTCAAGTTTCAAGTCTTGGATCACATTTTTGCTAAGTCAATTGATCAGTTGACCTAAAAAATCAATTGTATTGGGGAAAAAGTCAATTGTGGTTAATTTACAGTCAAACTTCATAATTTTTTATCCATGTCAACATTGTGAACTCCTATATGTCATTTGATCAAGTTTGGACCATAATTCCTCAAGAAATTTGATCAGATCATCAAAAGGGCAAAATGGTCAAAATTAGGGTTTTGACTGAGAAAAGGCAATTTCTGATTTTTGACCTAGAAAATGGTTGATTGGTTGGAAACATGATATCAAGGATCCAATTGCATCATTTTGACCTAATGGAATGACTCAAAACTTCCCTCAAGATCAATTGATTGATAGTTGATTTTCAGTTAACTGATCAAAAGTCAACTGTACACTGAAATGTCAAACTTTGACTTTTTGGTCAAAATCAAGTGTCAAAGATCACAATTCATCAAAACATGTCAAAATATGAAACTTGTTCATCAAGATATCAAAAAGTCAAAATTTCATTTTGAAAAGTCAAAGTTTCCAACTTAGAAATTTTTCTAAGTGTTGAAAACTTCATATTTTTTTCACAACTTTGAGTCAATTTTTCACTATGATGCAAGATGATTCAAAGGAAACTTTAAACATGAAAGTTGTAGATATCAATGATATATAAAACATTGCTTTACACAACTTCTCCTAGAAATGCATGGATTTCGAGTTATGATTTTTTGAATACATGTTCATGAAACTTGGAAACTTAGTGAAATTTTGCCCTAGTTTAGGCAGGATTTTGACCTAACTTCATGGAAATTTTTCACATAGTTCCAAGGGAAATTTTCAACATTGATTCAAATAGGGATTGTATAGCACATTATAAGCTTTCTAAAATGTCCAAGAACTCCTTGAGATCATGTTTGAGCAAGGAGAATCGAAGGCATGAAGTTGGCATTTCATTCTTGAATTATAGGTCATTTCCATGTTGAACAAGAATTCAAATCCATCCTAGGTTGCACAATCTTTGCTTTGCAGGCTTCAAACTTGCTTGGCACTCCATAATTAATGTTTTGCACAACTGTTAGAGGCTTTAATCTAAGCATTCAATGCATTGCCCATGCTTAATGCCATTTTGGGAAGAAAGTGCACATTGCTATTTTGGAAAAGTAGCTTTTATGCACAAAATCAGTTCTTGAGCTTTGCACTTGTTTGCTTCTGACCTATAACCCAAAAGAAACTTGTCTAAAGCCTCTAACAATTCAGCCCATGCTTGTACTTTGCCTTGAAACTATATTTCCACTTTTCTTCAAAGTCAAGTAAGATAGCCATAAATATATATCTTGCACTTCTGACCCTCTCAAGTGCTAGAACCTTTTCCTTACTTATGCACAAGTTATTTGCAAGCTAACAGACGAATACACAAGCTCCAAAACTCATCAAAACTCAGAACTTCATCTCAGACTTCCATTGTTGCATATTCTGGCCAAAAATCCCAAAATCAAAAACTACTCGTGCGTTTCTTGGCCTTTTGCTTCCAAAAGCTTCCAAACATCATACATAAGCCATCCCTGTCCCTGTTACACGACTTTAACACCATTTTCACCCATTTCCAAAGTTCAAAAATAGAGCATCACATTTGGGCTTCTCCAGACCATTCCAGCCACCTTCAGCTCAAGCCAGCCATTGCATTAGCTTCCTAGAGGTCCAAGGAAGCTAACCTGATCATCACCATCACTTGAAACAAGCTGAAACTCATTTTACGATTTCCAGTTTTGAGGTATTTTTCTTGAACTTCTATCTCATTATTTAGGCATTGTTAGGCTTGCATTTGTGAAAATAGAATATATATATATATATATATATATATATATATCATTGCCTTGAATCTATACATGTCCATAGATTTCATTTATGTTGCTTAAGCATGGAAAATTTTGAGTTTGAACTTGCTGAAACGTTTAGGTTAGAATTTGGTACTTTCATAAATTCATCATTATCTTTGAATGTTAGCTTAAATTAGTTACATGGTTGAATTCGTATTGGAAAAATGCACAAGTTTCATGTTTACATTTTTGAAAATGGTTGAGGAATGAGCAAGTTTGAAATCCTTTGGCTGGAGGTTGAAGATGAAGTACAGTCAGGGAAAAATATGTGTTATGTATTTATTGTTGTGCCA